CATTATTTTCCCTTGTCAGAAAACAAACGGTATATTTCCTCGTCTACAATTGTCAAGTGGATGCGGGAAAGTACACTTATATTACCAGAGTTCATGTTTCAGAAAGGAAAAACACCCAACCCCCTACCTCAGATTGGGAATCTAAAATGTTTTAGAAATTTTAGCAGACAGTGACATTTTCTACAAGCCAGATATATGTGGAGAAATGTCTGATCTCTACAGGAATTCAAGTATCAGTCACCAAGCCAAATTTCCTAAGCACCTGTGGCTACCTTGATTTCTGCCATTTTAAGATTATTCCAGGATAAGCAAGTGCATGGTCACCATGCCAGTTTGCCTAAGAAAGGTAACCACTCCAGGACTAATGACTTCCTCTGTGATGGAAATCCGATATTCTGCTTCGAAAATAAAATTGAAAATAGACTCCCGCTATGAAATAGCATGCTGCCTTTAAAGTGACTTCTACTTGTAAGTACTGAAAAAAAGGAGGCAATCATCTATAATCCTAATTTTGGATTGTTTCCAATGTTAACCATGCTCAGAATGGAGATGACTAAATTGGATCCATTAATTTCGGTGGGCCTATGCTGTGTATAGCTGAGTTGGAAAAACCCTTCAGGTTGGAAGGGAATCAGATCTAAGGAGAACCATTCAGTATCCAGGTAACTGTGTGCCACAACCAGGCAACAGGTGCATTGCAGAAAGATGCTGAAGGATCAAATAGCTCATGTAGCCAAAGCAAGCCCACATGCTGAAAGTGAAGGCTCTTTTCTCACTTCTCAACAAACATTTCATAAGGAATCCCAACATGACTGCATTTCGGAATTCCTTCCTCATCTGTTGCCTGATCTTTTAAATTGGAGATGCCATTGATTGAATGCGGGACTATGTATATGCAAAGTATGTGCTCTTATCATTGAGTTAGGCCCACTCTTTCTTTGAAAATGAAATAATTTATCAAACAGTTATCTTCTGTGCATGCAATCGGAGAAACTGGGAATGACATGGGGGGGGCAGTTGTGCTTCCCACTCCCCGTACAAGGCCTCTGAGAGCGACAGAATGTACTCGAATCCCATTCATACCTGTCAACTTACAGATTTGAAAATAAGGAGCCAGCAGCCTCGAAAATAAGGGATCAGCAGCCAAAATAAGGGATTTTCCAAGCACAGGTATGTTCAACTTCTGAGCCCCTCCAAGCCAAAGGCAGAAAGCCCAACCAGCAGCCAAACGAAGCCTCAAGCGGTGGTTCCCACAGCGCAGCAACCCGGCAAAGGGGATGCAGCAAGGGAAACCACCGTTACCTCTCCGCTGGGAAGCGCTGAGCAAAGGCGAGTCCCCAGGCAACGTGGCCGATTTGATCGGCATAAGGCATGCAAGCTCCACCCCCCCAGTCATTCTTAGACTCCTTATTAGGTGAGCAACGCAGCCAAGCAACACAGTTGGAGCCTCCCTCCTCCCTGGCCGGCAGGGAGGGAGAGGAGCTGCTTCCTTTGAAACCCGGGAAATTTAAAGGACATCATCAATAAGGGACAGCAGCGGAACACAGCGCTGGGATAAGGGACTTTCCCGCCAAATAAGGGACGGTTGACAGCTATGATCGCATTGCTTCCAGGGAAACCTGGTCCTCAACTCTTCTCAAAATCGTGCAACGGCAAGAAGTTCCCACTGGTGTTTATCAGCTGCTCCAGGCTGTGGGTGGCTGGAAGACTTCTGCAGACTGGAGTTTTGTAGCTTTAAAAAAAAAAAAATAATGATGACAGAGGCAGTGCTGAAGCCTTCGGACCACCTCATAAAGGAATCCACCCTGACAGAATCAAGTGAGTCCGCTTTTGAATCAAAAGCTCTAAGGATTCCTTCCCCTCTCAACTCCTTTTATTGCTTTTTATTGCTATGGAAGTACATACAGTACTTGTTTTTCAGGGGGGGGTTGTATGCCACATTTTACCTTTTTGCATACCAATACAATGCTTTTTTCTACTGTGGTATTTCAGATCCCTGCACCCAGCCAGATGATCAGGCGCACCGAATCATAGCCCTGGCATACACCTGTTATAGTTTTATATTCATATAACAGTATTTGCTTTGCTTAATTTTTTCCACTGCTTTTATTCAAAATGCATTAGGTTATCTTATGGAGTGTGTGAGGCTCACCTTGAAGTTAAACTGGTATACACAGGGGGCACACATTTCTATGCCATCAGTGACATTATAACAAACTCAAACATCATGTTCAATTTGAAAAGAAAAATAGCAAGACGAGTGCCCTGTACTGTACTGCACCTGCTTTCTTACTTGGTCTTCTCTCATCTGTTCAGCACAACTTATATTGAGAATGTCCAGCACAGCACACAAGCAGTGGATATTAAAATATGGAACATGACCTGAAACTTCCAGCCCATTTTGGGGAAAAAATCAAGCTTCCGGGTCTCCAAAATTGAATCCTCTGGAATCAGAAGCGGTTCACTTTGAAATTTACAGTTATGCATTTTCTTTGGGTTGTTTTTAAAAAACAAAAACAAAACGTGTTCCACGCTAAGAGTGTAACGCACAATAATGGAATATTTAAAGATGTGGCCAAATTGCTATTGATCCTCCTCAAGTCTGTTGCCAGACTCCAGCCATTGCCTAACATTTCATAATGTATTACATTCTCTGACAAGATAATTGGACCTTTTTGGCTTTACGTAACTTTGCAAGCATCCCTTTTCCCAAAAGAAGCATCTCTCTGAGAACATGAAAAGGCAGCCTGGGAAACGGCCACATGAAAGTTAACTTTTGGCTCTCACAGGCCAATGAAAAATGACCCAAATATCTACCCCCCAAAAGGGAGAATTTGACAAGCATGTGGGACTGCTAATATACCACACCTTTGCCCGGTACAATTACTAGGGGCATCTGGTAAGACACAAGAAGTGTGGGGACTTCCGGGGTGGCGCCATCGGCAATGGCGGACTCCCTCTGATCTGGAGGGACTAGCTCCATGCGAAACGGGTCTTTTCCGCTACGGCGAAGCGGGGACCCTTTCAAAAATCACAGGCGGATGAAGCCTGTGACCATGGGACTCAGCGGGCACCTTTAGCGGCCCCCCAACCCGCAAAAGAACCCACTAACGGGCTCCGGAGCGAAGAGGGGGAAGTGGCGCGGTGCTGAGAGTCAACTGCTTCTTCCGTGGAGCGAAGCCGCACAGCCGTTGCCGGAGAGCGCTGCCTTTTCCTGGGACAATTTGGCTTCTAAAATAATCACCCGTGAGTACTTAAACTCGGACAATTGGACTTTAAATAAGGACTTGTGAGCAGAAAGGAAAATTGGACTTAAAAGTTTACCTCAATTTGGTACTGAAACGGGAAGGTCTAAACAGGAAGTCAGCCTTCCGTTTCTTTGTAGATAGATTAAAGCAAAGACATGGCAAACTAGAGCTCAGAAAATCGCTTGTAAAAGATTAACTTTCATCATTTAAAATTGTTGAACCCTCTTCGGAAGCAGGGGAAGAGGGGGGATTTTTTCGGACTGTTTAAACCTGCAGAAGTGAGTGTAAAGTAACTTTCCACCGTCCTGATCCTGGAGCGGGGTGTCAGGACTGACGTTTTTTGAAGCTCATTGACCAGAGGCAAACGTTTTTGACAGATAGCTATAAGAAGAGAAACATTGATTCCATTGTTCCCCTTCGCTTTTTAAAGTAACAAATATTGACAAAATATCTGAAAAAGGAAACTTTGTTGTTAGACTTGTCTTTAAAATAAAGAACAAATAGAAGTTTTCCCCCTAGAGGGAGACTGTGAAACTGTAAGCAACTCTGGGGAGCTTGCAGCTGTTACAGATTACAATCGTGGGAATAGACTTCTGACCTTGCAGGACAATGTATTCAGAAGCTCTGTTGTGTGCTTTCTCTAAAACAAATGCCCTACTGGAACAGCTACATGAGAAGACGGATTTGATGACTGATGCGATCAGAAATTTTGAACAAGCAGTGGGAAATTATATGGAGCCCACCCAGGAATTAAATCAGGAGTGTGCCCTGACGGAACAGATGAGGGAAGAGGATGTTGCTGAATCTTGGGCACCAGAGACGGAGGGAGCTGTGGCCCAGCAGGAACATGAGCTTTTGGATTTGACAAATGAACTTGGAAAAAGCCAGATTTGGAAAGATAAAGTTTGGTTTGGTTTGGAAATGGGGGGTTGGATAGACCCCTATGCAGGGATGTTTGGACTTTTCAAGTCTGGCAATGGGCCGTGAGATGTTTGGGGTTGTGGGGGCTCTTAATTTTGGAGGGTTTTTGAAACATGTTCTTAAATACCACATGGAGTTTAGTGTGGACTATGGAAAAGGGGCTGATTGGTTGAGAAGGGTTAAAAACATTGTTAAGCTGGAGTTCCCACGAGTGAAAGGAGTAGGAGACAAAGGAAAATACAGTTATAAATATGAAGAAGAGCCGCGGAAGGGACATGGAAGAGACTTAAGGGCCTCGGATACAAGGTTACCAGGTTAATGCGCTAGATCGATGGGATAATAAGGACTGACAAAACCCGGGACCAGGAGGAAGGGACGCTGGATGAAGATTGGATTGCTTTTATTTCTTTCTTTTTTTTTTACTACTAGGATTGTTTTATAAAATTGATGAATGTCAGAAAAATGTTGGAACAAAATTACTTGGCTTTAGCAAAACTGTTTAAAGAATTATGTAAGAATATTATGGTTATGAGAAGTTGGTAAAAATAAGATTTAAGTTTTATGTTTTAAGGTTCTTTATAGTAAGATAAGATTAAAATAGATTAAGGTAATGTAATGACAGAATATTATGAAATATGGAAAGGATTTGCTGCGACAATTAACAACTAGGATACAAAAAAGGGAGGAGGAGGAGGTCAAAGAAAGAAGGTAATGACAGTTGAGGATTTGAGAATGATGGATTTGTTTTTGAGTGTTTGTGGTGTATTTTTGTTTTTGAATTTGTATTGTTTGATGTGGTTTGTTTTTTCTTTGTTTTTTCTTTCTCTTTTTCTGCTTTGTTCTCTTTTGTAATTCTAAAAAACTTTCAATAAATATCATTAAAAAAAAAAAAAGACACAAGAAGTGTGTAAGACTAAAACCCTGACTCTCTTCCTATTCACAGGAACTCTCCAGTTTACACAAAGCCTTCCTTACTCAGTGCAATGCCAGTCAGAGCTCTTCCAAGAGACCTGAGCAAGCCACAAGGGTGTGAATAGGGAAGGCTGGCTTATTAGCAGTTTCACCCATTAATTACTGCGAGCATTCACAGATTATGGGGCAACAGGGTGGACCCAAAGTCTCTGTTCCACAAATGGAAGGAACTTCCATTAAAAGCGGGGGGAGTCATCTGTGAGTGAGAAGAGTCCTTCGGTGAACAGAACTTTTGCTCCTTGGATCTCATTCATTAGGTTTAAGTCACATAAAATGGTCAAACCAGAAAACATGTTGGGTGACCAATCTGTAACAGCCCATAGGAGCAGACAATAAAATCGGTGACAAAATCCATGATGAGAAATGCATTTTTATTATTGACCTAAGAATGCAATTTCAGCTAACTGGGCATTTGGACTGGTACCATGTTTCATGTGCTTCAAATGCAAATGATGTTTCTAAATATGATTTATATAGAAATAATAATTTGACTATCTTTTCTATTCCATTTGGGATTTTACACACACACACACACACACACACACACACACAAATGTGGACCTGATGACATTGGATAAACAATAAACTAATTACCATTCAAGCTGCGGGGGAGGGGAATCTGTAGAGCAATGAAAAAGAGAAAGAAAATGAGAAAAGTTGACGTGAATTCACAATATGCATAAAATGGAAGAACAATCCATTCATGATTGCTTTGCAAGTAATACAATGAAGAGGCTTGAAGCCACTCCAGCTTTATCACACAGTTGTGGTGTTGATGCTATTGTTCAATGTCTTCTTCAAAACATTGTTTTTAAATCTATCACCACCTTTCAGCTTCTATAAATACTGGGGATTAGATAAAAGAAAGGCAGTTTCTACAAATATTTCTGGCAATGTTAAAAAGCACCCATGCTTTTGACAATAAGAATGGGGATGGATTTGAAAGCGTCAAAAATGTTCCATTCCTAAATTTTAATTAATTACTCTCAGTGATGTTGTGCATAGCCACATCCGATTCATCCAGGAAGCCTTGTCCTTACTCTCAGTTGACTTCACTCGTCCTCAGTGACTTCATCGTGTCATTGAGCATTCCTCTGAACTGAATGAATTCATCTGAATGAATTGAATTCTGATCTTATTGCTTTTTTCACCCTTTTAATTGCCATGCTTTTTGACGGGCTTGACTCATGGTATAGTTTAACTAAGGAGGTTTTAATGCCCCAGGAGAATTGTTACTGTGTGTTTTTAAAATATATGAATTTTGTAATTCGTTTTATAGTTTTATAGTTGTAAACCACTTAGAATATAGATAAATAAATGCCAAATCTTGATACGGGCGGACTATTGAGGCAGTGTATAGTGAAGCAACATGCAAACATAGGGCTGAATCAATCCATCTGGATGAAAATGAGTATTAGCAGTGACAGGAAGGAATAACTAATGGACAAATATCAGGTTTGCAAAAGGTGTGTTAGGAAGACTCTTTTGGCAGGAATTCTCAATTATGTTTATCTTCTTGATCAGTGTTACTCAAATGTTTGGGAGGGGGAGATTTCAAAATGCTACCATACATTCTGAGCTGGGAGAGACTGTGGCAGACAGAAGACAAGCATCAGAGGAAGAACAGGAAGCAGGAGGGTGGGAGGAAAGAGGCCAAGAGGGAGAGAGGAGTCAGGCTGATAAAGAGGCACGTTGTATCCCCTTCCTGCTGTGACAAGCTCCCCTCCCCGCTTGTCTCCCAGAACCAGAAGAGGCATGAGAAGAGTGGAAGAGAGGTTGTCTTCACGCAGGCGCAGGTTCCGATTGCTTGGGGAAAGCCCTGGAGAGAAGGGAACTTAGATGGCTATGAGGAAACGAGAACTTCCAGTCTCAGCATGAGGCAAGACCTACTGGGGATGAGCTGCTGCGCTCATTAGGGATGCCAGCCTGCCACTCCGCCATGTCTGTGAAGATCACATTCCTGCTAATGAAGAGTTAATTCCAAATTGAATGGTGTGATTTACTGCCTGCTCACTCCTGTCACAAGCCTATTGTGGGTAAGAGTCACCACCGCTTGTTCTATACACTTTTTTTTGCCTCTGGCCCCCATCCCCATTGGCAAGTAGCCCCTGGAATTTTGCCCTCTAAATAATGTAATCCTTGGGCTGAAATCCCCACCCCACCCCCATCTGGAGGACACTAGGTTGAGGAAGGCTGTCAGCCAGTGACAACTGTGAAATTGATCTTCCTTACAGTTCCCAAAATACATCTTTCTGCTGCTTGCTACCTTCTGCTGGAAGGCTGGAACACTTATATGCAAGCCCAGGCTTCCTCAACCTCAGTCCTCCAGATATTTTTGGCCTACAACTCCCATGATCCCTAGCTAGGAGGACCAGTGGTCAGGGATGATGGGAATAGTACGCTCAAAACATCTGGAGGGTCAAGGTTGAGGAAGCCTGTGCAAGCGCATACACATTTAGACCCATTTCATTGGTCTGTACACAGAGAATCTCTTAAGACAGTGGGTTTCAACCAGTGTGCCCTGGTACCCTGGGGTGTCTTGCATGATGGTCAGGGGTGCTGTGGACAACACTGGCCTCTGTCCCTCTTTCCTTCCCTCCCTTCCTCCGATGCCCTCTCGCGTCAGCGCCTCCCAAAGCCTTGCACAGCTGTTTGTTGTGGCAGCCCTGGCTACAAGCTCCCCAGGTGAATGGTGCTTTTAGGGCTGGCCAGGAGTGCTTCTTAGGCTCTAGTGGGGCAGTCTTAGGAGGTACCTCTCTTTGGGGTGGGGGTGGGCAGTTCAGAGACCAGGGGCGGCACCAGTGGCTGCCCGGAGGATTCCCGAAGAGAAGAGGCTGAGAAAACACTCCACAAGGGAGGGTGTTCGGAAAAGGGTGAGAGGCTGTCGGCTCTGCAAGCAAGGGGTGACATAACTGGGCTCCTGAGCCCTACAGGAGTGCTGCAGAAAGAATTTAGTTGGTCAAGGAAGCTGTGAACTCAAAAACGTTGAAAACCTCTGTCCTAAGAGATTCTGCCCTTGATGCTCCTTCAGTTGCACAGTAGAAAATGGCACATCACAGACAACACTGATGCTGAGTCTAATATATTTCATAAAGGTCTAACTTGGTGCTTTGAATCCCAAAGAGAGCCACCACACTGCCCCAAATTACTTACCCTGAATTGTTTTAATTTTTCATTTGGTGCTACTCAAAATTCAGCTCTTCTCTTTGGCTATCTGTCTGTTTACATAATAAACTTTATTAGTTCTCTTTAGACTGTGCTGTTGCTTTTGACTTTCAGCTGAGTCATTTTTCAGTAAATGAACAAAGTCCGAAGAAGTTGTCTGATGAGATTTGCTTTCTTATTTTATTGTGAATACTTTGAAGATTAATGGAGGGCAGAGGTTTTGCAGGCGAGCTTTTGCCCTTATGTCACCTCTAATATTCCGAGAGCCACTATCTACCGGACAGCCTAAATTGTTTAGATTGGAGATTCAATTTTGAAAAGTTTCTGAAAACATATTGCTAACATATTTTGCTTGACCTGGTCATACTATACCACTGTTCCTGCACTGAAGCAAAACTGTGTTGCTGTATAAAGTTGTCTTGCCATCACTTAACTCTACAATAGCCCCAGTTGACTTCAATTGTGTGATTTAGAAGTACCGCAGTTGAGACCTATGTTTTAATGTGTCCTTTATGCTAAGTTTGCTGCAATTATGTTGTTGGGCTCCAACTCTCATCAGAGCCAGCCAGTGCAGCTAATGGACAGGGATAATGTAATCCAACAACATTTGAAGAGCATAAGTTCCCCACCCCTGGTTTACTGTGACCTAATCTTGAACGCAGATGGCGCTGTGGGTTAAACCACAGAGCCTAGGGCTTGCCGATCAGAAGGTCAGTGGTTCGAATCCCCGCGATGGAGTGAGCTCCCGTTGCTTGGTCCCTGTTCCTGCCAACCTAGCAGTTCGAAAGCATGAAGTGCAAGTAGATAAATAGGTACCGCTCCGGCGGGAAGGTAAACGGCGTTTCTGTGTGCTGCTCTGGTTTGCCAGAAGCGGCTTACTCATGCTGGCCACATGACCTGTACGCCGGCTCCCTCGGCCAGTAAGGGGAGATGAGCACCACAACCCCAGAGTCGTCCGCGACTGGACCTAAAGGTTAGGGGTCCCTTTACCTTTAACTAATGTTGAACTGAACCACACAACTGTTTGGGGGAGAATAATAAAGCTGACCAAAAAAAGAAGGTGGCAGTGGTGTGTGGTCAGTGGACATGGGGGACTAGACTAGTCCCATAAATATTCCCAGTAAAGGAGAGTATTAAAGTATTAAAGTCTGGAGCCTCCTTCCCAAAGCCTGGCAAGCTTCTGCCCTTACAAGCTAGTGCCTCTGTTCCCCTATGAAAAATGTCACCACGCACCACGGGAAGAACAGGTAACTCACAGCTTTGGTTGTGCAACAGTGTTTTCCTGAAACTAAAAAATATGTGAAATTATATTTTTTCTTACATTCTACCTCAATATGGTAAGGGGAGAACCCTTTTTTTAAAAAATAATAATCTTGCAGCAGCTGCCCTTGATTGTGCTGGAAGTGAGATACCGATGAGAACCAGTGACCATAAGGGAAGGCACACAGCTCAGTGGTAAAGCACATCCTTTATGTGATGGCCTGGGATTCCGATTCGGAGGATGAAACAGAGGAATCCCGGCCTGCACAGGAGTCCCCGCCTCCAGGGCCGGCTGAACTGGGGCAAGGCCTTGATGCTGAAGAGCCTGCACCTGTGGCAGTGCATCAGGAGCTGGCCCCAGGTGAAGCTCCTTCGGGCCCCAGAGGGGCTTGATGACTCAGTGGCCACAGGTGAGCCTCCTCCAGGGCCCAGTAACCCTTCGGCCTCTCCTGATCTGCAGAGGCTTAGGGCAGAGAGGCGAAGGGAACTGGTTGCCCCCAGGAGGAGTGCTCGCCTTAAGGCCAGAGGAGGCGGGGCTCCTGGGGACCGGGACCGCCCCTGGCCTTAGAAGAGGATAAAAGCCCAGTCAGCCCGGCCCCAGGTTGCGGGAGCAACGTCGTTGTTGGCTTCGGACCTTCCTGTGTTCCTGATCCCTGCTCGGCTTCCTGTTCCTGACTATCCGGTACTCCTGTTCCCTGCTCGGCCTCCTGTTCCCGACCATCCGGTGTTCCTGTTCCCTGCACAGCCTCCTGTTCCAGCATTCCTGTTCCCCGCCCGGCTCTCTGCCTCGGACCTTGCCCCTCTTCGTGTGGACTCTGCTACACCCAAGGTACCTTACCCCCGGGACCAGCACAGTTTGCTCCCGCCAAACCCGCACTCCCCTTCGTAGGGGTGCGTTCGGGAAGAGCCAGAGGCCATGGCTGACCAGGCGGCTGCACTGGTGGCTTTGGCCCAGAAGAACCAGGCCTTGACTCACACCGTGCAGCAGCTCAGTGACGCGGTTGTGGCACTTCAACAACGCTTGGAAGCCCTACCGGCTCCTGGGGCCGACGCCCGGCTCCTGGCAAGTACCCAGTGGCTTTGCCTGAGAAATTTGATGGAGCCCCGGCCAGCTTTCCCATGTTCCTGGCCCAGGCCAAGCTGTATATTCAGGGGCGAGCCCGGAACTTTCCTGACGACCGCACCAAGGTGCACTTTTTGATTAGTTTGTTAAAGGACCAGGCGGCCAAGTGGGCGTTGCCGCTACTCAGGCAAGACTCCCCTTGCTGGCAGACTATACGGGGTTTTGCAATCGTTTGGAGGCCGCGCTCGGCAACCCCCAGAAAGGGAGTCAAGCCAACCGGGCGATTCGGCGTTTGAAACAGGGCAAGTCCACGGTGGCCGCATATACCACGGAGTTTCGGCTGTTGGCACAGGACTTGACCTGGAATGATTCGGCACTGCGGGACCAGTATCTCGAAGGGCTTTCGGACGAGGTACTGGACCAGTTGGCCACAATGGAACGCCCCACCACGCTAGACACTCTCATTCAACGGAGTCTACAAATAGACGACCGGTTGGAGGATCGTCGTCAGGCCCGGGTCGCCGACACTTCCAGTTCACGGCACCAGCTTTTTCCGGCAGCCCCACGGTCACAACTGATTTAACGGAGGAGCCTATGCAGCTCGGGGCAGTGCGGCCACGCCTTTCCCCGCAGAGAAGGCGCGGCGTCGGGAGGGAAATCTCTGTCTTTACTGTGGCGGAAGTGGACACTTCGCTCGGTCTTGCCCTGAGAAACGCCAGCCGCAGGGAAACCGCCAACCCCAGTAGCTGATGGCCCTAGCTGCCGGGGGTCCCAAACCGCGCAGAATGGGCCTGCATCAATGGACTCGCAACATCTTATGGTTCCGGTACGTTTATACCCTCCAGGTGGGCTCCTGGATCCCCACCCATGCTTTGGTGGATTCAGGGGCAACCCGCTCTTATATGGACGCTGCTTTTGCCGCCCATCATCAGGTGCCACTCGGAACAAGCCAGTACCGGTCCAGGTGGAAGCGATTGACGGACGACTTCTGTGTTCAGGTGCCGTTACTCAGGAGACCCAGCCCCTGGTCCTGTGTTTCCAGCAGCACCGGGAGTTGCGAACTTTGGACATTGCCTCTATGCCCCGCTTCCCCTTGGTGCTCGGGATGGACTGGCTGGAAGCCCACAACGCTCAGATTCACTGGGTCAAACGGACCGTGCACTTCCCAGACCCATGTTCCCATGCTCAATCTGGGACGCTGGCGGCCGCGCCCTCAGAGGAGGCAGCACCCACGCTCCCAGCCGTGTATCAGGACTACCAGGACGTGTTCGAGGAACGGGGGCAGACCAGCTGCCGCCGCATCGGCCTTTGACTGCGGCATAGACCTCCAACCCGGAGCGCCTCTACCAGTGAGTCGCTTATATTCTCTAACAGAGCCAGAGCGCGAGGCTTTGCAGGACTTCTTGCGCAAGAACCTGGAGCGTGGGTTCATTAGGGCCGTCCACCTCGCCTACCGCGGCACCAGTGCTTTCGTTAAGAAGAAATGTGGGAACTCCGCCCTTGCCATGATTACCGAGCCTTGAACAAAATTACCGTCCCAGACCGATACCCCTTGCCCCTTATCTCGGAGCTGCTGGAGCGGGTGCAAGGGGCACAGGTGTTCACCAAGCTGGACCTCCGGGGGGCCTACAACTTGATTCGGATCCGAGCCGGGGATGAGTGGAAGACAGCGTTTGGGACCCGGTACGGGCAGTTCGAATATTTGGTTATGCCTTTCGGGTTGTGCAACGCGCCTGCTGTGTTCCAACGCTACATCAACCACGTGTTTCAGGACTTGTTAGACAAGTACGTGGTGGTGTATTTGGATGACATACTGATTTACTCCCGTGACCCGGCTCGCCATGAGGGACATGTCCGGACCGTGCTGCAGCGCTTGCGTGAGCACCGTTTGTACGCAAAGCTCAGCAAGTGCGAGTTCCATCAGCGGACTGTGGACTTCCTTGGTCACCGGCTCTCTCCGGATGGGGTGCAAATGGACCCGGGAAGGTGACAGCGGTTCAAGAATGGGCGGCACCCCGGCACCGCAATTACCTACAACGTGTCCTGGGGTTCGCCCATTACTACTGGACCTTCCTCGCTGATGATCCCCATCGCACCACCCCGGTGACCCGGCTTCTGCGCCCACAGACGCCGATTTCCTGGGACAAGGAGGCAGAGGAGGCGTTTCAGGGGTTGAAGGCCTGTTTCCAGAGGGCACCAATCTTACAACATCCTGACCCCTCTCGAAGCTTTGTGGCTTTGTCGGCCGACTCCAGTACGGCTCTCGGTGCCGTCTTGTCTCAACAGATTGGGCCCGAAGCGCCACTCTTACCCTGTGCCTTCTATTCCCGCCAGCTCCTACCAGCGGAGCGTAACTATACTGTGTGGGAGCGGGAACTACTGGCCATCAAGGTAGCCTTTGAGGTCTGGCGCCACCATCTTGAGGGGGCACGACATCCGGTGGAGGTAAGAACCGACCACCGGAACCTGGAGTACCTCCAGACCACCCGCAAGCTGAACCAAAGACAGATCCGGTGGGCGTTGTTCTTTCCCCGGTTCCAGTTTCGGATCCGCTACATCCCTAGCTCTCAGAATCTGAAGGCGGATGCCCTGTCCCGGAAACCTGAAGACAACGCAGACACGGTACAGCAAGCAGAACCCGCCACGATCCTACCTCCGGCCGCATTCCTGGCCACCCAGGAGGCGCAGCCACTGCAGGTTCGGGTGCGGGAACAGCAGCGGGTCGACGCTTGGGCCCAGGAACGACTCCGGGAGCTGGCTGAAGGGTCCAGCCCACAGTATCCGGGGCTGGTCCTGCATCAGGGCCTCCTGCTGCACCACGGTCGACTGTACATCCCGCCAGGGCCACTGCGGCTGGAGGTTCTCCGGATGGCCCATGATGCCCCGGCAGCGGGGCACTTTGGACGGTATCGGACCACCCATCTGGTCAGTCGTGAGTTTTGGTGGCCCCGCCTGAAGGCTGACGTGGCTCGCTACGTTGCTGGTTGTGATGTCTGCCGACGCGCCAAGGGGCCTACCGGGCGACCCCCGGCCTACTTCAGCCATTGCCAGTTCCACCGCGCCCTTGGCACACAGTTTCGTTGGACTTTGTAGTGGACTTACCCTCGTCTCGTGGCTGTACCTGCCTTCTGGTTTTCTCCGACCATTTCACCAAGATGGTGCACTGCGCTCCCTGTCCATCTGTACCCACAGCCAAGGAAACTGCTCAGCTGTACCTTCAGCATGTCTTCCGCCTGCATGGACTACCTGAGCGCGTGGTGTCCGACCGGGGCGTTCAGTTCACATCCCGGTTCTGGCGAGCATTACACCAGACCCTCGGGACAGAGGTCTGCCTCTCGTCAGCCTACCACCCACAGACCGATGGCCAGACGGAACGGGCGAACGCGGTGCTGGAGCAGTACCTCCGGTGTTACTGCAGCTACCAGCAGGATGACTGGGTCGACCACCTGGCATTGGCGGAGTTCGCCTATAACAACGCGGTGAATGCGTCCACCCAGCAGACCCCGCTCCAGGCCAGTTATGGTTATCATCCACGGCTGTTTCCAGAGGTGCTGCCGGCATCCGCGGTCCCGGCGGTGACGGAGTGGCTTCAAGAGCTCCAGTCCCAGCAACAGCTTTTGGTGGAGCAACTGCACCAGGCCAAGGAAGCGTACAAAGCCCAGGCCGACCGCCACCGCCAGGTGGGGCCGGAACTTCGCGACGGTGACCAGGTTTGGCTCTCCACTCGCCACCGCCACCCCGCTCGACCGACGCGGAAGGTGGACGCCCGCTCACCGGCCCGTTCCCTATCGTAGACCAAATCTCTCCTGTGGCATTCCGTCTCCGGTTACCCGCAACCCTGAAGGTTCACCCGGTCTTCCACAGGTCCCTTTGAGTCCGGTGGCCCCACCCGACGAGTTCCACCAGAACCGTCCCCGACCGCAGCCAGTGTTGGTTCGGGAGAGCCTGAGTACGAGGTGGAACGCATCCTGGACTCCCGATACCGCAGGGGAAAGCTGCAGTATCTCATTGACTGGAAGGGGTACGGACCGGAGGACCGCTCCTGGGAACCAGCGGCCAATGTCCATGCACCTGCCTGCCTCCGAGAGTTCCATGCGACGTATCCCGGCAAGCCGGGTCCGGACCCTCGGTTGAGGGGGGCCTGGGAGG